GGCGGGGCCAGGACCTGCTCCCCCCCCCTGAGCCTGTCTTCCCATCTTCCACCATCCAGCCCATACCACCCCCCCACCCCCCCTCCAGCTGCCAGGCAGGGGTCCCCTGGCCCTGCCCCCACCAGCCCCGGGCGCTGGGCGCTGACTTTCTCCCTTGCTTTCTCCTAGACGTTTGTCACCACGCTGGCTAACGGGATGAGCCTGCGGACTGCGCTAGAAGATGTAAATATCCTTTCAGTGCGTGGGCCAAGCCAGCCCCCCCACCCCCAAATCCCAACTACCACCTTCCCCAGGGGAGGGGACCCCTGCACTCCTCTTGTCCCCATAGTCATACCCTGTCACTACTGCTACAGACCCTTTCTTGTGTCCCACAAATTGTCAAGGTCCCGTGTCCCCCCCCCCGCGTGCGACAGACAGACAGACAGTGGCCCTGTCCTCTAGACTTACAGGAGTCAGGAGCCTGGCTGCCTCCCAGCCTCGTGTCCCTTGTGTTCAGGGTCCCATTGCTCAACCCCATCCCCTTTTCCCCCTTCCCTCTCCCCTATGTAGGATGGGAGTGAGGAGCTGGTCAGTGCTGGGGTGGGGGTCTTGCAGGGACAGGCGGTGTTTGTGTGCATGTGTGTGCATGTGGCAGGGAGCCTGGAGCCCAAGCAGGAGCTGCAGGGGGTGAGGCAGGGGTGACATAGACCCTAGTAGCCTGTATCAGGGGTGGGGGGGGACCTCATGGTGTAACAGAAACCCTCGCAGCATGTAGAGGGAGTTGGTGGGGGGGGTGGGCTTGGTGCAGAGTCCTGCACTGTGGCTAAAGAAGGTCTGTGTAGACTAGTGGGCGTAGGAGTGACCCTGCTGGTTGTGGGGGAGACAGCGGAGCGGCCAACATCGGCCCCATATAGAGGTTGTGGAGAATTAAGGGAGTTGGGGCTGGGGGGAGGGAAATCCTTGCTCCTTCTAGGGCAGGGGTGGGCAAAATGCGGCCCGCCAGGCCAGTTTATCTGGCCCATGGGGCCTCTGAACAATTTAGAAAATCAATATTGATCTTCTCCTGGCTGCCTGTCATGCGGCCCTTGATGGCTTGCCAAAACTCACTAAGCAGCCCTCTGCCCAAAATAATCGCTCATCCCTGTTCTAGGGGCTGTATTCATTTCTCATTCATAAATTTCCTTAATATT